TTTTTTTTTTTGCTATTTTGTCTTATTTAACATGGGGATCCATCTTGTGGAAGAAGAGTATCACTGGACATTTCCTCCTGAGTTATAGTTTTATGCATAAAAAATAACCACATTTAAACGGTGATCATTTCTATAGGACTTTAGAATTATTGATTTGATTTCTTGTCATTGCCATCTGGTAAAACAGTTGGAAAAGATATTGTGTCTCACACCCAATTTTTCTAGTTTACTTTCTTCTATAAGTTTATAAATATTTTCTATTCATATACATTTTTTAGTATGTATGTATGAATATCTGTATTTATTTGCATAAGCACATATATGGATTTTTTTCATTATTCCCTCCAGAAACAAGTGAGAATGACCACATTAACTCACCGAACCCGTCGCACTGAAATAAGCAAGAACTTTGAAAAGAAGGTAGAAAGTGAGGAAGATACTAATCAAGAGAGGAGTCCAGAAAACGAAGATTCTGGAGACTCTAAGGATATTCGCCTCACCCTTATGGAAGAAGTATTGCTCCTGGGACTAAAAGATAAAGAGGTAATGCAGTTACATTTGCTAGGCTGTCTCAAAGATTGAAGTATTAAAATGTACTAGGAAGTAATCTGATGAAATATTTTTATTAATGTTTTGACTAAATTGGTCTTAAAAATGAATTCAAATCATCTTGGAAATGGAGGAATTTAAGTTGGTGTCTGATATACTTGGAGAGTAAAATCGAGAAGTATGATTACTTGAAGTATAATTTAATTACAAAATTGTAGAGGATATAAGAAAGGATAATGCAGTCTTAAGTTTTGTACTTGTACTTTCCAAAGTCAGTTTCATGGTGAAATAGTAACCTCTTATTAAAATAAGAAAGAGAACCCACACGTTCTTCTTTGTTGGGGGTGACCTCCTTGACCCTCCTTTATTTTTGACGTAGCTTTCCAGGTGGCTGGGATTACTGGTGTGTGCCACCATGCCCTGACTCAAATCTACTTGAACTTTGGGGGCAAAAATTTTTAAAAGACAAAAATATGTGTTAATTACACTATCTTACAGAAAAATAGGTGATGAGTTGGCTTTTTTTTTTTTTTTTTT